CAAACAGACAGCTGCTTGCAGAGGAGCCCTCGCCTAGGCACGTCAGGAGGCATCTATTTGAACTGACGGACGAAGTCCAGAGGTTCATCAAGCAACCTCTGGACCCGTCAGCTTACCGACTGGCCCTGAACGGCATTCACAGGGAGTCAGCCTCGAGTTATGTAGACTCTAGACCTGTGGATGCCGTTCTAGGCACACCACCACCGAACAAAGACGAGACGGAACTTCATCTGCCTCGGGAGACACGAACACCAATAGCCCAACTTCGCTCTGGCTACTGCAGCAGGTTAAACTCCTACCTAAGTAGATTGAATGAGGATGTCCCAAATAAGTGTCCGGCATGCGGAGAGACCCCACATGACTCGAAACATCTCTTCGCATGCCTGGAAAACCCGACAACCCTAACGGCTTTGTCCTTGTGAACCGGCCCGATAGAGGCTGCACGCTTCCTAGGGCTGCCGTTAGTGGAACTTGACGACAACGACTGAGATATGAACCGATCTGGGCGGGGTTGTTGTAGCCGCTACAACAACAACAACGGCCTCTCTGCAACTTCGCCTCTAGTGTGAGCAAGCTTTGGTCAACCGTGAGGTCGTTGTCCAACCCGACGAAGCGTGACGACAGAGTCGAAATAGACTTAGGTGACCACGCTTCGTCGGGAGTGAGCTATTTTAGACGGAAGTTCATTCTGCATCCTCGGGTGGATAAAGCCAAACGTTGAGTGACCAAGAGGCTGCGAAAATGCCAAAACCCAGTGCGCCTCTTGTTTTCACCAGCGGTGAGGAAAGGGTAGCCATCGGGAAGGCGAAAGTCTCCAAAGCCATTGGACCCGACGGAATATGCATGTTGATGCTGAAAAATTTTGGTCCTGCGGGAGTACCGTACCTAACGGAGGTCCTCAACCTGTCTATGGCCACTCTCGTCATTCCAGACATCTGGGAAAACCGGGAAAACCAGCCAACAAAGGAGTCTTGTCGCCCGATAACCCTCCTTTCCCCGGTAGCGAAGACACTAGAGACCCTGCTACTCCCGTATTTTACGAACCACCTGACCCCAGCAAAGCATCAACATGGGTTCCGTAAAGTGCATAGCACAACAACAGCACTTAACGCCATAAACACTCAGATAACTCGTGGCCTTAACCGAAACCGCCCCTGTGAGAGAACTATTCTAGTAGCGTTGGACCTGTCCAAGGCGTTCGACACTGTCAGTCATTCAACGCTACTAGATGATATAAAGGCCTCCTCATTCCCACAGGGACTCAAACGGTAGTCGGCGAATTACATGAGTGGTCGACACTCGTCAGTAATTTTCAGAGACAAAACCCGCAAGCAACGTAAAATTAAACAGTAGCCCATTCTTTCAGTTTTTAGCATCGAAATTGTCATCCTGGCCAATGTCATCTACTAGTAAAGCGCAAAATGAACACCTCCGACGGCACATTACGTTGTGAGTTGCAAAATAACGTGCAGCCTAAGTTGTTCCCAAGCGCCGAACTACTCCGAGCGAATGCTCTGTCTTATGCGTAACGTACTTTGTAAAGCGGCTCAGAGGTATGTCTGGTACCAAATGTACATTCTTAATTCCTATTTACATAAGGCGGCCACGTCTTTGTTAAAGTAATGGAGATTCGGCGGGGAAGTGGTAAGGACCGCCAGGTGAAGGGCAATACCTTACCAGCAAGTTACACTTCACCCGGCTGTCCTTACCACGTCACTGACGAATCTCCCTTACTTTAACAAAGACGTGGCCGCCTTATGTAAGTAGGAATTTAGAATGTACATGTATCAGCCATACTTCTGAGCAGCTTTACAAAGTAAGTTACGTGTAATGCAGAGCAGTTCATTTTTCGCTTTACTAGTAGAAGACATTGGCCATGATTACAATTTTGGTACAAAAACTAAAAGAAAACATGGCTTACCTCGTAAGTTGCTTACCAACTTTACCAGTGGGGTACACAACACATACACAAAAATGGCACTCAAGTACACAATACATTGAACAAAACAGTACTAGACTGTCTCGCTTTGATTTCGGAATGCTTACACATTGAGAAGTTAGCTTACTGCCAATATAGAAGTATTACATATATGGGGGTATCACAGGGTGGTGTCCTGTCCCACTACTGTTTAATTATTACATTTCAAAGCTTCCTCAACCACCAGAGGGTGTCAATATTGTCTCCTATGCTGACGATTGTTCGATCATGGCGTCTGGGAATGGAATTGATTACTTGTGCTCGAAAGTAAACCATTATTTCGCCGAACTTTCTCGCTTCTTCACTGCAAGGAGCCTTGCCCTATCCCCTGCGAAATCGTCGGGAACCCTATTCACCACCTGGATGAAGGAGGTCAGACTGCAACTGGGTATTCACGTTGATGGCGTTACAATACCGACGGTGAATAACCCGAAAATCCTCGGAGTTACCCTCGACAGTCTGCTCTCCTTCTCGGCGCATACAACCGCAATTGTCAACAAAGTACAGCGCCGCAACAATGTCCTCAATTCGCTGGCCGGCAGCACTTGGGGGCAAAGATAAAGAAACCTTGTTGGCAACATACAAGGCAATTGGCCGGCCAGTTCTGAACTATGCAGCGCCCGTGTGGTCGCCTGGGACTAGCAGGACGCAGTGGAGGAAGCTACAGACTTGCCAGAACACGACACTACGAACAGCGACATAAGAGCCCTCGCCTAGGCACGTTAGGAGGCATCACTACGAACTGACGGACGAAGTACATATGTTTATTAAACAACAGGCCCTGAACGGCATTCACAGGGAATCAGTCTCGAGTTATGTAGACTCCCGCCCTGTGATTGCCGTTCTAGGCACACAACCACCGGACGTGGACGGGACAGAACTTTGTCTGCCTAGGGAGCCTCGCACTACAATAGCCCAACTTCGCTCTGGCTATTGCAGCAGGCTAAACTCTTACCTGAGCAGAATCAATGGGGATGTGCCCAACCAATGCCCGGCATGTGGAGAGTCGCCACATGACTCTCGGCACCTCTTCACATGCCCTGAGAAACCCACTCAGCTGACGCCCCTGTCCCTATGGACAGACCCTGTGGAAGTCGCACACTTCCTGAGCCTCCCCCTAGCTGACGGATGACGTTGACGGATGAACCGACACGAGCACGGCTTAGTGACCGCTACAATAACAACGGCCTCTCTTCCTTACTAACGCCTCGGTCCCTATGGACAGAACCTGTCGAGGCTGCACGCTTATTTGGGCTACCGCTAGTAGAGCTTGACGACAACGATTGAGGGACTAACCGATCTGGGCGGGGTTGTTGTAGCAGCTACAAGAACAACAACACGGCCTCTGTTTTATTGGCAGCAATCTTCTGCTTCAATTTTAATTTAAAATCTCGTGTTGGTGGTGCAAGACAGTTCAAATCAGCAGAGAACTTGTCCCACATTTCTGTTACGTTTTGTTTTCCTGGAACCAAAGCAACCGAGCCCTTTGGCTACATCTGGGTGCTTCTCCCTTAGTTTAACTATCCGCTAGTCACATTCATATTCCATTCGCTAGATTTTGACAGCTGCGGCGAAGGTTTTTTAGTCGAGTCCGAAACATTAATAGACACATTTTTTACATTCGCTTTATTTTGACGTTCGACGCGAACGTAACAAATTGACTCGCTAACCGTAATACAAATGTTGGCGAGTCGCACATATTTCCAGTGATTCGCAAACGATAATAGGGACCTTAACTTAAGCATGTTATCTCATAAAAACAAGTCAAACAATAACTAATAGTAGGGCCATAGTGGTTGTTTCAGGTAATACTTATTTGCGAATTGAAATGGTTTTAAACACTGCAACAAAAAACTTCCAGAAAATATAGTGAATGTAGGTACTAAACGGTTAAAGTTAATAACCATGTTGAACCTATTCTACGGAGAGTTTCCACGTCATTCATGGAAAAACCACTGCATTAACAAAAACTTCCAGATAATATAGTGAATGTAGGTACTAAACGGTTAAAGTTAATAATTATGTAGAACCTATTCTATGGAGGGTTTCCACGGTATTCATAGAAAAAACAAATGAGGGTTGAATGCTACAGAATTTACCGAGTTTATTGCTGTAGAGTCAAATATTGAGCTTGCTACTTTTTATATAAACCTGAAACCATCGTAGTCCGATCTTCGTGAAATCTACGAAAATGCAATCAATGAATCTAAATTGCTACGAACGTATGCTTTAAAGTGTACGCTTCGTACGTAACTATTCGAATTCAGTGATAACATTTTCGTAAATTTCACGAAAATTCGGTCTGCGACGGATTCAGTGATAGCCATGAATATATACTGGCCTCAAGCTCAATAAAATTGTTGAATTTATATTCAACAATTTGTATTGAGCTCGAGGCCATTTTTTTAAATGAA